GTCTAACTTCGCCGTGTTCCCTGTGTGTTTGTTGCTGAACCTCCAGGTGGGGCCGGGAGATCTCGTAGAACAGCAACTGGTCTCCGGCCAGCAGAGCTCAGTTTCCCTGAAGGAAATGGCTGCTCTGGAAGGGGGACTCTATGGCGCTGTACCTGGCTGAGGTCCCTCCCCCGAGAGCCAGTTTGGTGTAGTGGTTAGGAGCACAGATTCTAATCTGGGAGAACCGGGTTTGATTCCCCACTCCTCCACATGCAGCTGCTGGTGTGACCTTGGGTCAGTCGCAAGTTGTCTCAGAGCTGTTCTCTCGAGGGCAGTCTTTGAAAGAGCTCTCTCAGCCCCGCCTACCTCACAGGGTGTCTGTTGTGGGAAGGGGAAGGGGAAGGAGACTGTCAGCCGCTCTGAGACTCCTTTGGGTAGTGAAGGGCAAGGAATAGACCCAATCTTCTCCTCCTCCTCCTCCTCCTCCTCCTCCTCCTCCTCCTCCTCTTCTTCTTCTTCTTCTTCTCCTCCTCCTCCTCCTCTCTCCAGGCTCCACCCCCAAATCTCCAAGAATTTCCCAACGCAAAGTTGGTCACTCTCACTTGCCAGGTTAAAGGCCTCGGGCTCTCTAGGCAAGGAGCCCAGCTCCTGCCCAGCCTCTGAAAGGGCACTGCGAGTAGGAGACTGGCAGAGAGGACACGCCAGCAGCAGCTGCCATTGTGAGGGGCAGAGAAAAGCGCAGTGGCCAAGCAGTGGGGAGTAGGGGAAGTTGGGTCTGATCCAGCAAGCCTGTTCTCCACCACCCGTTCCCCATCCATCCCCTCTTCCACCGCCCCCCCCCCCAGGGATTCGGGGTGTTTCTGGGTGCAGATGCAGACGGCAGTGAATCGGTGGTGCCCGGGCCTGGGCTTGGAGGATTTCTTTATTTCCCTCCTACATGTGGGCAATGTTCCCTCTAATCTGTGGAGTCTCGTGAGCAAAAATTCTACTTTGTGAGCAACTGGCATTAAAGTTGTGAGCGAGCAATTTGGCTGCTGCATAAATCAGTTTGCTCTGGAGCCCTCTTTCCTGAGCTCTGACAAAAATGTGTGGGCCAGAGGCTAAAAAACTGTGAGCTAGCTCACACTCACTCAGCTTAGAGGGAACACTGCATGTGGGACAGCTTCAGGTCGCGGGCCACCGGAATGACAACTGCGCAGGCCAGGCCAAACAAACCGCTTTATCCTTGCTTCCCCGCTCGGAAACAATCCTCCCAGCCAACCGAGGGCTGTGCCAGCAATTTGCATTCAGATGCAAAGGAGCGTGGAGTTTGCTGGCCTCCTCTGCCGCATCCCAACAGGCGAACGGCGCCAAAGCTCTTTTCAGAAAGAGGGAAACCTGCCTTGCCTTCCTGGCTAGGGATGCCAGCCTCCAGGTGGGACGTGGGGATCCCCTGGAATTACAGCTCCTCTCCAGACTACAGAGATCAGTTCCCCCTGGAGAAAATGGATGCTTTGGAGGGTGGGACTTTATTGCGTTGTACCCCACGGAGGTCCCTGCCCTCCCCAGGCTCCAGTTCCCAAGTCTCCAGGGATTTCCCAGCCTGGATCTGGCAACCTTCCACCCCTGTCTCCTGCCAGTGGCCGGGGGGGGGGACCTGCAACCGTACTTTTGCAGCCTTTTTGAGGGAGAAGACGGCCTTTGTGGGAACAGAATCAGGCCCCAGTGCCAATGCTGGGAGTTAGGGTTAGTTGAACAAAGGCTTGCAGAGGGAGGCGAAAAATAAATGCGAGAAATAAGTAAATAAAATCTATTATTTCATTCTGTTTTTACGAAACTTATACCTTGCCTTCCTAGTCTGACAAAGGGCCACCAACAATGTTCCCTCTAAGCTGTGGAGTCTTGTGAGCAAAGATTCTACTTTGTGAGCCGCTGGCATTAAAGTTGTGAGCGAGCGATTTGGCTGCCGCATGAATTAGTTTGCTCTGGACTCCTCCTTCCTGAGTGGAGACAAAAATGTGTGAGCCAGAGGCTAAAAAACTGTGAGCCAGCTCGCACTAACTCAGCTTAGGGGGAACACTGGCCACCAAGGCAGCTCACAAATTAAAACGTAACAGATAAAAACCACATTTTAAAACCATTAAAATCACACCCACACCCACACCCACAAAACACACACACGCAGACATCATTAAAACAGTTTCAAACAGAGCTAAAATATGTACAAAGAAATTGTTAATAATAATAATAATAATAATAATAATCTTTCAATTTATTAATCGCTCAATCCTGCAGAGCTGCTGGCTTTGAGCGATTTACAGTTACACATTTCACAAGGGACTAACAATTATTCATAGGGGTAAGGGAGGACATTATAGCTCAAATACTTCGGCCACCCAATGAGAAGGGAGCACTCCCTGGAGAAGACCCTGATGCTGGGAAAGATTGAAGGTCAAAGAAGACGGGGACGGCAAAGGATGAGATGGTTAGACAGTGTCATCGATGCAACGAACATGAAATTGAGCCAACTTCAGAGGACGGCGGAAGACAGGAGGGCCTGGCGGGAGATGATCCATGGGGTCGCGAAGAGTCGAACTCGACTGTGCGACTGAACAACAACAACAAGGGAGGACAACACATATAAATATTTTAAATTGCACATGTTCACAGCCGACAGGGATTTTGTTTCAGCTGTAGACTAGACATGTTAAATAGTGGGTTCCGTGGAAGGTTTCAGTTCTAATACACAACAGACATAAAACCAGCAATTAAACTATTGGTCTGGAAGGAGGGGCCATGGAAACACTGCGGCTTGCGTGGTCTCTGGTGTGCTTGCCGTCTCCGCCGGCAGCGACAACATTTCGTTTTGACCTGCTGGCCGGCTGGGAGCTCCTGCCTGGGTATGCAGGAGGGACCGGACCCGCTTGCAGACAATTCCCTTCTTTGGTTCATAGAACTGACGAGCTTTGGATGGGCAGAATGTCCCTCTCACTCCCTCTCAAAGGCAAGAAACTCCTTGCCCATCGTGGATTTGGGGACAAGGCCCTCCGTGCAGGGATTGTGTGCTGTGAAGCATGCAGAAGGTCCCAGGCTCAGTCCCTGGTATCTCCAGTGAAAAGGATCAGGCAGGAAGTGATGTGAAAGACCTCAGCCTGAGACCCTGGAGTGCTGTAAAGAGGGGCCGTGGCTCAGGGGAAGAGCCTCTGCTTGGCACGCAGAAGGTCCCAGGCTCAGTCCCTGGTATCTCCAGTGAAAAGGATCAGGCAGGAAGTGATGTGAAAGACCTCAGCCTGAGACCCTGGAGTGCTGTAAAGAGGGGCCGTGGCTCAGGGGAAGAGCCTCTGCTTGGCACGCAGAAGGTCCCAGGCTCAGTCCCTGGTATCTCCAGTGAAAAGGATCAGGCAGGAAGTGATGTGAAAGACCTCAGCCTGAGACCCTGGAGTGCTGTAAAGAGGGGCCGTGGCTCAGGGGAAGAGCCTCTGCTTGGCACGCAGAAGGTCCCAGGCTCAGTCCCTGGTATCTCCAGTGAAAAGGATCAGGCAGGAAGTGATGTGAAAGACCTCAGCCTGAGACCCTGGAGTGCTGTAAAGAGGGGCCGTGGCTCAGGGGAAGAGCCTCTGCTTGGCACGCAGAAGGTCCCAGGCTCAGTCCCTGGTATCTCCAGTGAAAAGGATCAGGCAGGAAGTGATGTGAAAGACCTCAGCCTGAGACCCTGGAGAGCTGCTGCCAGTCTGAGCAGACAATATTGACCTTGATGGACCTGCAGTCTCGTTCAGTAGAACAAGCATAAGAAGAATTCAGTGTGATAAAGCGACTCAAAGCTATAAGAAACCCTGCAATACGACGCTAAACAACAGATACGTATAATGAATTTCCAATAGTAATTACAGAATTTTTGCAAAACACGTAAGTTTACCCTATGAATGATAAAGCAATTCAAACAACAAGGTAAATCCAGAATGAGAAAAACTTGAAAATGGATCATCAATTGTGAAAACAATGTATTAACATTGAGGAAGAACTCTCAGCCAATGAAGAATCATCAAAAAGTCATCCGTCATCACACGAGGATCCTGGTGAACCTATACCAGGGATCCATTTTCAAGGTTTTTGTCATTCTGGATTAACCTTGTTGCTTGAATTACTTTATCATTCATATGGTAAACTTACCTGTTTTGCAAAAATATTGTAACTAATATTGGAAATTCATTATATGTATCTGTTATTTAGCATCTTATTGCAGCATTTTTTATAGTCAGTATAAGGCAGCTACACATGAGAGTTCTCTTCATGTGACAGGCTGTGGCTCAGTGGTAGAGCATCCGCTTGGCATGCAGAAGGTCCCAGGTTCAATCCCCGGAAGCATCTTCAGTTGAAAGGACCAGGCAGCGGGTGATGTGAAAGACCTCAGCCTGAGACCCTGGAGAGCCATGGAGAAAAGCCATAGCTCAGTGGCAGAACGTCTGCTTGGCATGCAGACGGTCCCAGGTTCAATCCCTGGAAGCATCTTCAGTTGAAAGGGCCAGGTAGCGGGTGATGTGAAAGACCTCAGCCTGAGACCCTGGAGAGCCATGGAGAAAAGCCATAGCTCAGTGGCAGAACGTCTGCTTGGCATGCAGAAGGTCCCAGGTTCAATCCCCGGCATCTCCAGTGAAAGGAGATATTTGTGAATTTCCTGCATTGTGCAGGGGGCTGGCCAGAGGTCCCTTCCAACTCAATGATTCTATGACTGATCTCTACCTGAGGAGACCATGGAGAGTAGCTGCCAGTCTAAGTAGATAAATACGGACCTTGATGGTCCAGAGTTGGGGAGGAGCTGTGGCTCCGTGGTAGAGCATCCGCTTGGCATGCAGAAGGTCCCAGGTTCAATGCCAGCCTGAGCACACAATACTGACTTTGGTGGCCCTGATTCAGCATAAGGCAGCTTCATGTGTCCACTTCGTGTGTTCAAGAGAGCCTCTCCTGGTTGAGATGAGGTGGGGCTCCAAAGCCAGTGCCATAAAGGTGGAGAAGAGCTTCGCCACCCGTTCTCTCTTTCCCAGGGGCCCACGGACAAGAGCGCTGGCAGGAGACGTACCCAGACTGTGGGTGGCAGGCGCAGTCCCCCATCAACATCCAGACGGAGTCGGTCCAGTATGAGCCTTCCCTCCCTCCGGTGGAGCCCGAGGGATACCGCAGCCCCGGAACCGAGAAACTGACCCTGAAAAACAACGGGCACACAGGTGAGGATCTTCTGGGGATTTGTCCATCGCTCGGCAGGAATCTTGGCGGCTATGTGGTAAGGGCTGCCAGCTCCGGGTTAGGGGTTGGGGGTGGAGCCTCAGGAGGGCGGGGTTTAGGAAGGGAGGGGCTTCAGCGGGGTCTAATGCTGTAGAGTCCACCTTTGGAAGCAGCCGTTCTCTCTGGGAGAACTGATCTCCGTTCTGTCCTGGCAGAGGAGGGAGAGCTTGTACCTGAATAAAACTTGGTCTTAAAGGTGCCACTGGACTGTTTTGGGGCGGGGGGGGGGCGTCTCCACTC